TATCATCATTCCACCTCTTTTTCCTCTTTCCTTGAACTACCGTACAACTGCCTAAGCATCAAAAGACGTATGATTATGAGAAAGAATATACGTGTCGCAGCGTATCTTAATGTAATAACTAATATAATGATGTGCGAAATCTTTTAAAAAACACGCGATCATTTCAACTCTGTGTTTGATATCTGCAACATTATTATAATAAAATTTAAATTAATCGCACGAATTGCCGATAAGATACTAGCACGTGCCATAAAACAGTTATAAAAGTGATTTTCGGTGTAATTCACATGAATGGAAATATATATATGTTTAAACATATCATTCTCGTTAAAGGAAGATTTTAATTTCTATTCAGGTCCACCTGAACCACTCACGGATAAACCGAGTGTAAACTTCAACGCTGGTGAGACCACGATTGTTTGGCGATCACCATCATACGACGGAGGTCGCACCGTGATCGGATATACTGTGGAAGCAAAACGCGTTGGTGAAAACACGTGGATAATAATCACCGAGTCTAGTCATTCGCTGAGTCACACAGTAGCAACAACTGGAAGGAATTCCGTGATACCGGGTGAGAGTTATTATTTCCGTATTCGAGCTGAAAATATCCACGGACTCAGTGATCCCGGCATGGAGTCTGATCCTGTTAGAATTCCAAAACAAGAAGAAACAATGTTTCAAGAGGAAGAAGAAGGTATTTCAATATCTTATTTTATCTGCTTCTTAAGAAAGTATTTAAAACATTATCCTCTTTAAGAAATGTGAATTAAAAATTTAATTTTACATTGTTATAAAATTATCGTCTTACTTTTTAAGACGAATTTGAACCAAGCTTTGAAGCTCGTTTGGTAGTACCGGAAGAAGGCAAATTTTTTGGCGAAAAATACGACGTTCTCGAAGAATTAGGAAAAGGTCGATATGGTGTAGTTAGAAAAGTTATCGAACGACCGACAGGCATGAATTTTGCTGCCAAGTTTGTCAAAACGATCAAAGCGAAAGACCGCGAACAAGTCCGCGAAGAAATTAAAATTATGAATGCATTAAGGCATCCTAAACTTTTGCTACTGGCTGCTGCTTACGAAAAATCTCGTGAAACAGTGCTGATAACAGAATAGTAAATACATCTCTAATAACATTCTTTAGATTAATTATTACATTAACTTTTAATAATACTATAATATTAAAAATCTTTTTTAGTATTTCTGGTGGAGAATTATTCGAAAGAGTAGCAGCCGACGACTTTACTTTAACCGAAAAGGACAGCATTCTTTTTATGAGACAGATTTGTCAGGGAGTCGAGTATATGCATCAAAATAAAATCGTTCATCTAGATTTGAAAGTATATTTCTTGCGGATAATAGTTTATTATTATAGTTAGTAAACTAACTAATAATGTACGTATGCTTTTGCTTCATTTTATACAGCCGGAAAATATAATGTGCCGTACGCGAACTTCTCATCAAATTAAATTAATTGATTTTGGATTGGCTCAGACTTTAAAGTCTGATACACCGATCAGAGTACTTTTTGGCACACCGGAATTTATTCCACCGGAAATTATAAGTTACGAACCCATCGGCACTGAATCAGATATGTGGAGCGTCGGTGTTATTTGTTATGTTCTGTACGTATCTAATTACATTTTCAAGTAATTATTTTTATCTAATATATCCAATTTATTGTGAGTGATGCATAGATTAACCGGCTTGTCGCCTTTCATGGGAGACAATGATGCCGAGACTTTCGCTAACATCACACGAGCGGATTATGATTTAGACGACGATGCTTTCGATGCCATTTCAAATGACGCTAAGAACTTTATCAGCGGTTTACTTATTAAACGAAAAGAGTAGGTTTTTATATCTTTCTTATTTTAGAAAGCTATTTATAGTCTAATCATATAAACTTAAATTAATTAAATCTTTTTTATTGTGTATTTCTTGGCAGATTACGAATGTCAGCCACGCAGTGCTTAAAACATCCATGGATGGCACAACATACTATGGCTATGAGCAGAATAGTCTTGCCGACAGAAAAACTAAAGAAATTTATCATACGGAGAAAGTGGCAGGTGTGTATCAATAGACTTTGTTAAAAATTATATTATAATTGTTTTGAAAGAAGGAATGCGTAACCAAATTTTGGAATAGATGAATATTACTTTTGAATAAAAAAAAATGCTTGAGACAGCACGTTTCATGCTATTAAAAATGTTAAAATAAAAAATCAATAAAAAACTGAACTGCTATTTAATCATATATATTAATCATATATATTAATCATATATATTAATTGCTAAATTTTCTTAATTTAATTAATCTAATCATTTATCTTATTTTTTGTAGTTTATATTTACTTTGTTTTTTTAAATAATCTTAGCATGTGTTTAAATCTTCAGTGTGCATGTGTAGTGCTGTTTATTTTAACAGAAAACAGGAAATGCCATTCGCGCATTAGGAAGAATGGCAATTCTTTCGGCGCATAGTAGACGTAGTCCCACAATAACGGCAGAGACATCATCTACACATCTTGAACAACGATTCGATAGCACCGAAATGCAATATTCTGATGAAATTAAATTAATCCATACTGCTATCAAAGATACGGAATGTATTGAAACAAGCATAGGAAAAAACTCTGCCGAAGCGGAATCACAAACAAAATTGCATTTCACGTGTGTGACGGAAGTAAATATGGCAATACACGAAACATCGATGGAAGAAGAGAGTAGTTTAAGTGATTTTTCAAAACAGGTGAATATTAAAAAAGAGATTCAAGAATTAGATACCGAATTAATACTAAAGGCAGAAGACATTTCACAAAACATCACAGAGCATCTAGAAATTTCAGTAGCAAGAGAAAATAAAGAAAGTGACAAAGAATTAATCAATAAACTTTCTGATAATGAGATAGAACAACAAATGACTTTAAAATCGCAGACATTGCGTAGAATGTTTCGAGGCGAGTCGCGCGATTCTGGAATAAGTGATTGCAATTCAAGCTTAGTAAGTTCTTCATTACAAGTAGATGAACTTGGAATAGTGTCCACTATCAAAGAAGAACTAGATCTTGAGATTTACAATCGAGAAACTAAACGGACATTGAAAGAAGAAGAAAATCGATCAAGTTCAACAGTAGGAATCTTAGCAAGTTTAGTACAAGATAAGAAAATCCTTCCTTGCGACACGGAAATTACTGCGGATGATGACAAGGTAGCTACAAAGAGTGACATGACTAAAGCTTCGTGTGAAACTAATCCTGTGCGGAAAGGTGTGTGTATGTAATTAATTTTGCTTATAATACTTACAATTATTTATCATAGACAAAAAATAAGATGGCATTATTAAAATCTTACAATTTTGCAGTTATTGACAAGAATACGGACGCAAGGATATTAAGCAGATACAATTGCAACAAATTTCTTTCAACCGGAAATGTAAATCGTACGGCCAGAATATTCGAAAAAGAAAGTGAAAGATCAAATTCAAATAATTCACAGCGCTCGTATCCTGCCACTATAATTACAGGAAAGCCACACAAAGAAAGAATACAAAAAGCTTTTGCATTCTGGAATAACTAAAGTCTTTTGAAATACATATTGGATATACAAATATACAAATTGAATTAAGTAAAACGTCATATCACTTTTAAGTAAAATATATGTATAGATCCAGAAGAGCTTGAAGCATGAAGGAGCTTCTAGTACGAAAAAAAAGATGTCAAGTCTAATGTAAATGAATTAATTACAATGCGCTAAGTGCTATTGTTTTTGTGAGATAGCGCCTAGCTATTGGATCGATTCGCCACAGAAATATATTGTTTGCAAGAAAACATATGTAGAAAAATTGTACTCTAGATACATGTAAAGGCATGATATATAATTCATTAAATACAGTTCAAGTTAAAATTCTTGCTCATCATTTCTTTATTAATTAATTTCTAATTAAAAAATAAATTTTTATCAATGATATTAACCTAAATCATACTGACTTGATAGAAAAAGTATACAGTTATTAAGATGAGTAACGATCATTTGTACGGAGAATTTATGTAATTTTTATTGATCACGTTTACGAAAAAGTTAATTTAATACAAAATTTTTGTATTAAAAAATAATCTTTTTAATGTTTTTTTATTTTATTTAAACACTAATTATAATTGCACAAGTTAAAAGAAATACCTTTGCAATATTAAAATATATTTTTTATTATTTTTCAGTTTTATAGATATTTGAAGTATGCATTATTATATACGTATATTGACAAAAACATTTTTAAGCGTGTATGTTCATTGAATAAGCGTGAATAATTGATATTATATTTAGTATTTTATTTGTCGACAAAATAAGTATACTTTGTGATTATATTATTTGTGCGAACATATTCCCGCAATTGTATCGTAATAATGAGACAAACAACATCTGTATTAATATTATAAGTTACTGATAAATAAAAGATATCTACATATACACAGATTATATTAATACGTACGTACATACAAATGTTTTTTTATTTATATATAAATATGCTACCAAATATATATATATATACATATTGTATATATTATATATATTATATATACATAATATATATATTTGGTATTTATATTATATAAATAT